GAACTTGCATTCAAATAAACATTTAAATATATAATTGCCCTTCAGACTTTGTTGGAACAGAACAGCATTCTCTTGAAGTTAAAACATGAAAAACAGTCATAATTGGAGTTTGGATGTTCACATCGATTGAAACAGAGAGAAACATCAGCCTTACCGGGTTGCCTTGACAACGGGGCCGTGACTCACAGAGAGCATCAATTTGACGACTAATGAGATTTGTATGGGAGCGGAATGCCGCTGCTATTACCGCTGCTGGCAAACAGGCGGCAGGACTCCAAAATAACAACAACAACAACAACTCAATAATAATAAAAATGATAATAATAGGGTCATTTGCCCTGATATTGTCAGGTAGTCCAGATATTCAACATAAATAACAAATGTTAAAGCGTATGGATCAGATTTTCAGCCTGATCTCCTCTGAAATCAATACAGTTGTCGATGTGGTCTGTGATGTCATCATCAGACCAGACGCTTTGAGTGATGATAAGGGCAGAGCACTAACCGCTGTGAACCTGTTAGCTTAATGTATAAAGGTTAGTGCTGACATGTGCATCTTTGTCTTGTCCTCTGCAGGCGTCACCATGCATTCACTGCCAGAGACCTCCGCCACGAGCAAACTCTTCCTCATTTGTTTCACCACCCTCCCCCTAATCCTCCTCTTCCTGAGCTCCTCTGGTGTTCATGGGGTGCCACTCAGAGAGTACAAACTGCGGGGAAGTGACTCAGGCTACCAGAGAGGAAGCGTCCTCCCAGCTCCTAACATTGACATGCTTAAAGCCTTGGAGTACATCGAGAGCCTCCGTCAGAGAAGCGGCACAGACTCCCAGCAGCACAGCCCTCTCTCTGTGGGCTATGATGCAGACCACATGGATGATGCAGAGAAGCTGCGTGCAATGCTGAGACTGGCTTCTAACCCTACGCAGACTAAAGATGAGGATGAGGAAGAAGAGGAAGGAAGGGAGGACAAGAGTGAAGAGCTGCTCCAGGCCGTGCTCAGCACACTCCAGCAGACAGAAAAGGCATCCAAGCACCCGAGTGCCGAAGGAGAAGGCATAAAGGACAGCGTGTATCCCAGGGTGCAGCAGAAGCAACAGGGCATCCCGCTCCACAAGAAGTTGCCGCTAATGTTCGAGGATGAGGAGGGGGGTGAGGAAGAGGAGGATGAGCGCCCAGATATAGAGCACGAGAGCCACTTCAAACGCACCAATGAGAACGTGGAGGAGAAGTACACACCTCAGAATCTGGCGACGCTACAGTCTGTGTTCGACGAACTGGAAAAGATGAATAATGCGAAGACCGTGCAAAAGCGCCAAGGGGAGGAAGATGACATGGAGAATGAGGAGGAGGAGGAAGAGGATGATGATGCATTTCAGGTGAGGAATGTGGCTTACGATGACGTAGGAGGGGATCTCGCACTTGACTGGGGTCCACTGCAAGGACAGGAGGAGGAAGAGGAGGGGGACGACAAACATGATATTGACCGAGGGCTTGATTATGTTGACGACAATGACGAAGAAGTGGATGAGGGTGATGATGAAGAGGAGGATGATGAAGGTTACCCAGTCAAGAGGTCAAACGATCCAGACGATGTTGCCAACCTAGTGGACTATTACCTCCTGAAAGTGCTGGAGAAAACAGAGGAAGAAGAGCAGAAGCGAGAGATAGAGGAAGAGGAGGAGAAGCAGAGGGCTGAGAGGAGAGCAGTCCAGGCACAGTACAGAGAAGACACGTTCCCACGAACCATCTACGAGTTTATTCAGATCTCCCAAAAATACCAGATCCCACCTGAAGACCTGATGGACATGCTCAAAACCGGTGAAATGATGAATCAAATCAAGTCTCAAAAGATGAACAAATTAAACAGAGCACAAAACCTGCTCTCTCAGATATCCAGCAAGAAGATACACAAGATTCCTGAGGCCACATTCTACAGCAGACGCCTGCCCGACACTCACAAATCCCCAGAGGAGCTGAGGACAGAGGAAATCCTCAAAATCCTGGGGTTAGGGGCCACAGACGACCGAGCTCCTGTCAGAACGCAGAAGCAGTACAAGAGCTCGCTGTCACGACTTCACACTCAGCCTGCGCGTAGTTCGGGGGAATCCACTCCCACGCAGCGGCGCTTTCCCAGCACATTAAAGAATGACTACGACAACACCATGGCAGAGGATGAGCTGGCAGCCTATTTGGCAGCTCAGATGCCTGCAAAGTATCTGAGCTCAGCGTACAGCAGCAAGGCGAGCCAAAAGCGGGACGAGGCCGGACAGAGCGTGACAGGCTCTTTTGAACAGGCCATACAAGACTACTTTGATCGCATGGACTCAGATAAAAGCCAGAATGAAAAGAGACAAGCTGAGGACACCGAGGGGGGAGGGGGCACGCAAATGCAAGACTTTGAAAATGAGGCCGTGATGAAACTGCTGAGCTACCTGAACCCAGAAATTGAAGAAAGTGATAAAGATGGGAAAAGTGTCCAAGGATATAAATAAAGCTGTAAATATATATATGTTTGTAAGTATGTATGTACAGGGAGAGAATCAAAACATAAAGATGCCGTCAAATTCAGTTATTATGTAGGTTTACAAAAGTTATTTATTAGCAGAAATATGAGACATTCATTGTTATACATTTGATGTTTTGTTTTTTTTGCTTAACATTCAGTACATGTGACTCACCAGCCTCACATTTCAATGCACACACACACACACACTCACACACACTCACACACATTTACACGTACACACACAAACACAATCAGTGTTGCATCCCTTAGATTCACTTGTGTTTATTTTTATTTTTTTGGTAATTCTTTTTCAAATGTGGTCATATGTGACAAATCTGAGGTTAATAAAGCATTGACTTTATTTTTTCCTTACTTTGTGGTGTTTCTTCATTAAATAATAAACGTGTTTTGCCTGCCATGTGTCGCTGTGGTTGCAAGAACATATTTAGATAGTTAATAAATATTAAAAAAACATCTCCTCATAAAACCTGAGAGTAACGAATCTGAAGACTAGAAGGCACTTTTAGACAAACATAATTACAATTCTTGAAAACGAAAGTAAAAGTAGGTTTGTGGTAATTGTTCAACCACAGCATGATGCAAAATTAGTCTTTAGTAATAGTCAAAGTATCCCAGAGTAATAAACCTTTCGCTCAAAGTCCCGACACCCTCATGGTCTCGGCTCAGTAGGCAGGCTTGCTCATGTATTCGTCAATCGTCTATGATGAGAGAAGTGAAACATTTCATATGAGTAATCGCAAAACCTACACCTACAGTTTGTCCAACAGCTCAGAACGTACCTCCTGGAATGTGTCGGCCTCCTCTAGCGATGCACCCACAGCTAATCTGGACGTTTCTAAGACTTCTCCTCCCATCAGGAATTCGTCCAGGATGAAGTACGCCTTCTCAAAGTTGAAAATGATGTCCAGCTCACACACCTGACAGACAGACGAGATTAGACTTTATTCATCCTGAAGGGAATTATTGTTGCTCTAAGATTACATTATTAAGTACAGAGTTATGCAGAACCAGTGTCTCATAGAAAAAGTGAGACAGTGAGAACCAACACTAAATAAAAGTGGCAGTATTGGTTTTGATGAAGGAGGAGTGGTAGTAATCCACTTTTTCTGCAAATGGAAACTAACAGACTGGACCCCCAAGTGGTTTTGAAGCAGATGCATTATCTGAACACCAGGGGGAGTCTGACTGGTAGGTAGGACAGTGGATGTGTAGCCTGAGGACTGTACACACATATACAGTCCACATATAACAAGTCCCTGTAGTTCAGAGTGTTTGTATTGTGTATGACTGTAGGTTTTAATACAAACTGATGAGCTTATATTTAGAGTTTATGTTAATATCTTTGTTACAACTGCATGGCTGTTTGACTCTGGAGAACACAACATGACCTCTGTTGTCACCTGACGTTACATACAAATACATAAATTACAATAATTGTACTGTGTTGTACATAATTGAAAACACTCATGTGATTACATAATAAATATATTGATAATGATCAGGATCAAGAAATGCAGATCCACTTACATTTCCGAAGTATCTATCCAACAGCTCTACGTATCGGTGCAGCACCTCCAGGGCCAGCAGCTCGTTATCCTGCTCCTCCAGTCCGACACAGAAATACAAGCTGGCGTACCTGTTCAGTTTAAGAGGATCAAGGCCACATGTTTACAGCAACAAGATCGACAAAAAAATCTGAAAACATTTCAGCATTACATAACATCATTGGACAGAAAAGAAAAAAAGACAATAATTCAATTGTGAAGGGTTCTGCAGAAAAACAAGCCAAAAATAAATAAAATGTTGGTATGGATCGAATCAGAGACAGAATTATTTTTCTTTAACTTAGTGAGAAAAGGTTCCACATCGCTATATTTATGGTGGAGGTTTTTCTATATATTAATGATCTTACTTTCTATCCTGAGTGTAATTATGTTGAATCCCCGTTTCTTGAAGTTTGTTTTGTGAGAAATCTGGTTGACTGATTGATTTCAGGGGGTGGGGGTGGGGGGGCACTCCACTGAGGGACGTTGGTTACGGCTCTGGATCATATAAGAGTTAAAGGAGTCTGTTGCACCATCACTAACGTGGTCTTGTCAGTAATCTCGGTCATGCTCTGTGTGCTAAACTTGACCTTTGCTCTTTCTAGGTCTTGTTAACCATTGTTGAGAATGGGTGTGTCTGTATTCTGTGTGTACAGACACTCAGCCAGACTGTGTCTGCTACGAAAGACCTGCCGATGACAAGACATTTTAATAACACATATATTAAAAACAAACACAACTGTGTCTCTGGGCACCTCTTGTAAACAATCTTGAGGTCCCTCCACTGGAGGAAGTTGCAGGAACGTGGTGGGCGGGCCAAGACTAACATCAGCATGTCCCGGATCATTTTCTTCTTCTCTCGGTCCGTCAACGGCGTGAACCATTTCTGCAGCCGCAACTTCCCCTGCCGGCTGAACAGCAACAGGAAGCGCATCTGGAGAGGAAGGGGGAAGAGAAACGTTCAGTGACTAGGGACATTTTTCTTCTGCAATATTAAGGATGACTGCAGAAAATGTAAAACAACCACAACAGGTGTTGTGTTGTGTTGTGAGGGTTAAATACATTCAGTATGACCACAGGGGGAATACAAACACAATGTTTAGTGAAGTCATCACACAGATGCATATGGACGATTGTGATATGAGCTCCAGAGCTGCAGCAGAAATCAAAACCACTCAAGAGTCCGGGTTGCACTGATCAGCATTCACAACAGAGAAGGAGAATGGAGCTCACCAGGGAAACATTAACATCGTTTTCAGAGATAAAGATGTGTTATAGTTCAATGCTTCTATTGTGCAAGTGCAATTAAGAGCCCTTTGCACTGAGGTGCAGCCGCAAGCTGATAGTGTCTGAACCAAGATAAACCAGGACGTGCAGGAGAGACAGCAGGTGAACAACATCACATCTAATGTGAATCTGGATCATTCAATCAAAGATGGACGTTCATTTCCCTTTCGAACATTGTTGTTGTTGTGTCCGTCTTTCTAAAGCTTTTCACCCCGACACTATCTTTCTCCGATAAAACATTTAAAACATTCAGAAAAATTATTCATTATGTATCAATTCCATGTGTTCAAAGGCACCAGGGTCGATCAGGATGTTAAAACACTCCACTGCAGTTTAAATTTCATGACCTTTGATCGAGGAAGTGCTTCCTCCAAACGGATTTGCAGCTGTAGAATAAAAAAGTTAAATAATAGTTTTTATAAACTGGTGACCAGAGAAACTATAGCCACTGTATTATTTATATAAAACCTGAGCATGGACCCAGTTGGAGCAGCAGCACTCACCATGTTGTCACAGTCAGTAGAAGTCTCCCACACTCAGCTCCTCAGGTTCCTGATCCTCACTCACACTTTCCCTCGAGGGTTTGAAGAAGAGGAGACATTGTTGCTGCGGAGCGCGCGCACACCTTCTCCACTCAGTGCCGCGCCCTTTCTGCGCTCCCGCTGCTGATTGGCTGCCCGGGCTACACACACACACACACACAC